TTTCATGGCTCTGCAGTGGTATCAAATTTGAGCTTGAATTGTGTTAAGAAGTGTGAACAAATAATGTCATAAAGTATGTGTTATAGATTAGTCTACACGTGTATACAGCTGACTACATTCTGCTTGATTCTGAAACGTTTCATTTTTGCAGTCAGTGACTGTGGTCATTTGCTGGTCAAACACGATAGACCATGGTCGACAATAAGATACCTTCATATTATGTCCATCATAAAAGCATGGTAGTATCATTAATTTATTTTCATCCATTGTAATACAATATACACCATAAGGATTATGGGTATTGTGCCGTAATATATTCAATTACATGACTTGAGGTTAGACCGGGGAAATGACATCTGTGTGAACTTGTCCTGCGACCATCAAACCATTAGCAAAAACAACACGTGAGTCATTTATCATTACGCTGACTTTGGTATAGAAGCGGGCATGCATGGTTTGTTTAGAGATGAATTCTGCTATGCGAGTAAACAATTGTGTGCACATTGTCACTCAAAGATTGCCTACAGTGATTAATAGCAATGTTGACTTTGATAAATTGAAACATTCTCAACTTTGTAATAAGTGCTGGTATTAGTTTAAACATGGACCTCCATGGTTTAAAGTATAGAGACGCAAGAGTAATATGATTGGCGTAATCAATACCCAGAATTCCTTGCGTATCTAAATGTTACTTAGTGTATCGTCAATCTGAAATAAAAAAAAAAAGTCACAGTGGAATTTGAGAGTGGCGCTTGTGTGAGAGACCGTGGGGCGACTCTACCTGGCAGAGAGTGGAACTTATAACTGAATCTTTCCGGTGCGTGTTATTGTGTGAAAGGACGAACGATCCCGATTATTCATGAAATAATAATGTTCATGATGTGTGGATAGCGAACAACACGATTTCTTGTATCCGTACAATGTAGCGACCATCATAGTTGCACTACTTGACATACTGCGTTTTTTTTTTAATTTCTTCAATTCATGTTCAGCAATTTATATATTTAAACAGCTTGAAATAAAGTCTGAAGTTGTTGTTACCACTATACACACACGATTGATTGTTTAGTCACGGTCAGGAACAGTTCCGGG